TGGATGTTCATCAGGAGCAGCAGATCAATTTAACATTATCCTCAATTTGCAGTAATTGGATTGAGAAAACAATCCATCATCCAGAATCAATTAAACAACAAGTGGGATATTTTGTGGGGGCCTCGTTCTCATCGACCTCCTAAAAATGAGGCAGCGACTACTAGATTATGCACTGCCCTTCATTCTCTCTTTTGCTCCCTCCCTCTCTTTCTCTCACTCTCATGCGTTCCCTTTACATATCTCAACTACTGCCAATAGCCCAGGGCAGTGAAGACTAATCAAGATATACTGGCGATATGCGGATCTATCTGGCTGTTGACATTTATGCCGCTGCCCAACACAAGGTGTTTGTGCTTTATGACACCTGTCTGTCCCTGGGTTTTCACAGTGGCGACATTATCTGCGAAATAAAATATGATTTATTCTGGGTGATGCAAGAGCACACTACATCGCCTTAAGGGCCCTCATAAGTATTACTGACTGCCGTCCACTTGCACTGTCGGAGGCCATAGGGGAAGCACGCCTGGAAGACAAGATGCCCTGCAATCGGTCGAGCAGAGATTGAAAAGGTGATGTCACCGTTACGAGGGTGACCCGTGGACATGAATGTATCAGAGTGCCTCAGGCTTACCTGATCTCTCTGTGTTCCTCCACCTAAGCCTGAAATAATGAGCACAAGGTTTCCCTCAGAGCAACTAGAGCGACACTGTCATCATGTGATATGCGCTCCTGAAATCCTTTAGATTACTTTATGCAAACACTGATAAATAGCCATGTGTTTACCACAGCAGTTTGGTCGGATCCCTCCTTTTGAACTCTGTTTTCTTCCTATCAAATATTTTATGAACCATTATCAATGTTTGGGCTTGACAGCGCAACTGAGATGTTGTAACGACACTAGGCAAGCATGCAATAGAGAGTTCGTCTGAAAATCTGTCATCATTTACTCGCCCCATGTTGTACTAAAGGTATACGAGTTTCTTTTTTTGTGTGGAATTCTAGAATAATTATTTATAGCAGAACAAGAAGGTGCTATTTTCCTTTTAATGAAAGTGAATGGTGACCAACTGCCAATGTAGGATTTTCAATGGATAATGACTATTTCCTCACACAAAGCTATCATGTGGTTTCAGAAGCCTTGGAATATAGTATATAAGCCATGGACTACTTTTATGATGTTTTTTGTTCTTTTTGGAGCATGATATCTTCTAGTCACCATCCACTTTGATTAAAAATAAAGGTTCTAAAGGGGGGTTTTCACAGCGATGCCACAGAAGAACCATTTTGGGTTCCTTAAAAACCTTTCAGTGAACAGTTTATTTCCTTAGTGTGAAGAACATTTTAATTCTAAAGAACTTCTGAAGATTCTAAAAGATTCTAAAGAACCTTTTTCCACTATAAAGAATATTGTGTGCAATGGAAAGGTTTCAATTTACATTTGAAACCTTTGAAGAATTGAAAGGTTCTTCACGAAAACATTGACGCCAACTAAGAACCTTTATTTTTAAAAGTGTACATGCAGCATGAACATTCTTTTAAACATCTTTTATGTGCAACGAATGAAAAACAGTCATGCGGGGTGAAATAACACGAAGCTGAGTAAATAATGACAGCATTTTAATTTCTGGGTGAACAATTCCTTTAATGGAGAAAGTCGTTTGTATGTTGTTAGATAAAAAAGACAAAAGACTCAAAGCTGACATGTCCTTGTGTATCATTCATTCCCTGGCACGGTTTCAGTTGTGCACTGCTTTGATAACTAAAGCAACAGCAGGCAAAAAGCTTGTTGATTCATTACTCCGAAAAAAGATAAAAGCAGAAAAAGAAGATTATTTTTCCCTCCACAGCTCTCCTCCTCCGTCTCCTCCTCCCCTCAACCATGAGTGAGCAGTCTCGAGCCCCTGGGGCCGGACTCTCTTTGCCAAAAATAACTGCATTGCTCAGATCAGGCAGCGCAGTGGTCTAATCCAACTCATGTAGTTTGGGAGGAGAGGGGGGTGGGGGTGGCGGCACTGGAGAACCCTACATTCACATGAGACGACAAACCACAGGAATGACTATTGCACATCAGTTGCAGCTGTTAGTTGAGCTCACATTCAGATGATAAATGCTTAGAGACAATGATCAATCAACACAAGGATGGAGTCTGTTACTGTTGGCCACAAGCTGTGCTCTTTAGTTTAGATGGCATTTTTCACAGGTTCCTGTTGAACCTGAGGAAGGACCACAATGCAAGACTCAATACTAAAAACATTTCTTAATGAGTATTTTTTTGTGTTGTCGAGTAAAAACATCCAATATGTATTTAAAAAAGATAAAATATGCAAATTAAGAAGAAAAGCTGTGCAAGACATTAAAATGTTTTCTTATATTCAGAGAATTTCTCTTGAATGACCGTTCAAAGGTTTGGGGTCACAAAGATTTTTCTATACGTTTTTTAGCAAGGACACATTCAATCGATCACAAAAGTGACAGAAAGACATTTATAATGTTAGGAAAGATTTCTATAAATAAGCAGTGTTCTTTTGAACTTTATATTTATTAAAGAATCCAGAACAAACACAAATCACAATTCACAAAAAAAAAAAGAAGAACAACAAGAAATTGGAAGAGATCACGAAGGATCGTGTGAGGCTAACGACTGGAGTAATGGCTGCTGAAAATTCAGCTTTGCCATCACAGGAATAAATGACATTTTAAATTATATTCAAATAGAAAAGTATTAATATTTCAAAATACTACTGTTACTATTACAATGCTACTGTTACAAAATACTACTATGTTACTAATACTAATATTACTGTATTTTTGATCAAATAAATGCAGCCTTGGTGAGTGTCTTTCAAAATCTTACAAATGCCAAAGTTTTAAACTGCAGTGTAAATTTATGTTTTAACCCATTTATTAAGTTGTTTTTCTTCAGTATATTTATGCTAAAACCATGAAAAAACCTGCTTGCCAGTGGGGTAAGAAAAATAAACTCTGAAATCAAGTCTTAATACCTTGTGCAATTTTGAAAAATTCCTCTTTTTTTTTCTTTTTTACTGGAAAAGAAAATGATTTTTTTGAAGTGATGTTATATATGGTGCTCCAAGTCATGTGTGAGAACAGCAGAGTTCTTAAGGAACGTGAAATTGAAACATATTGCACTTGGCTTCACTGCGGTGTATTATTTCAGATCTACCATTTAGTTGTAACGTCTCTATGGAGATAGAAATGAACTAGTTCATACTTAGATGTAATGGCACCAGGGACGCAGAAAGAGCTTCCTTTGTTACTTATTCGTCATCTGTGCAGTCAGTAAAAAAAAAAGAGAGCCCTCAAACAATGGATGAGAGTAATCAAACAGTGGAAATTACTGAGGCTCAGTTCAAGATGTGTGTGTGCACACAAATTCCCATCTTGTCACAATAACAGCACTCTTTTTTTAAGACAGAGACAACATCTCTCAGCAAACAGACTTCTGGTTGTGTCCGTGGACAGATCTCCACACCGCCAGCGCAGCCAGAGAGACAACCTATCAATGGTATAATCAAGAAATCAATCAAACCATCAGGACTGCATTCACTCCCTCTGTGCAGTCTTCAGGTCAGCAAATCAACACAAAGACTCGCCAGTCAACCAATCAGACCAAGTGAATGGTACATATTGGGTAGAGGTCACTCATCAAACAATCAGCTAATAAGGCTCCAAATAATAAGTAATCATACAGACCAGCAGCCTCCCTGGAGAGGGTAAACAAGTCAATTGTGGCCAAGCAGACCTCTCAGCGCACGCCGCGTCCCAACTGTTGGAGCTGTCGTGCCAACACTTCAAAAGTAACGGCAGCCCGACTGTGTGCTAAATGTCAGTACGGGGGAGGTGGAAATGCAATAAAGCTCTTAAAAATGGTTTGGAAAACAATAACAAAAATTGGACAAATATCCTTTGATTGCAAGCTGCATTCAGAAAGCACAGTAGCTTTGTCTTAAAGACAACATGAAATCAAAATCAACCCTATATGCTTTATTAATAAATGTCCCATGTCACATTATTTCAAAAAATAAAAATAAATAAATCAAAACACACTACTGTTCAAAGGTGTGGGGTCTTTTTTTGTTTGTTTTGAAAGAAATCTCTGCATTAAGGCTGCATTAATTTAAAGATAGATTAATAAAATAAAATGTAATATTGTGAAATATAACGACAAATTAAAATACTTCAAAATGTAGTTTATTCCTGTGATGGCAAAGCTGAATTTTCAGCAGCCGTTACTCCAGTTTTCAGTATCACATGATCCTTCAGAAATCATTGAAATGTTCTGATTTGAGGCTCAAGAAACATAATATTATCTATGTTAAAATACGTTTTATTTCAAATAGAAATCTTCTTTTGTAAGAATGTAAAAGTCTTTACTGTCATTTTGGATCAATTTAATGCATACTTGCTGAACAAAAGTAAAAAAAAAAAACAATTACTGACCCCAAACATTTGAACAGTAGTGCATTTTGAAAAAGTATTTTCATCATGTTTAACAAAATGTAACGTTTCAGCCCTTGAAACAGTTTTCTTTTCTTCAATCAAATCAAACCCTGATGAACAAGCCTACATCCTTTCTTGCTGAATATTCAGTTTTTACTCTAAAATAATTAACATTACAAAAGCTAAATACTGTTTTATAAAAAGCCATTTGCATGTTGATTTGTTCATCTTGACCAGCAGGACAAAGCAACACTGGTTCAACCAGTGGTGTGATTTTGAGGTGGGACTGTCCATTTATCACATCTATGGGCAGACCGAGGAAATGTTTGGCAAGCAAACAAAGAAATGCAGCACTTTGTCAAACTCTGTTCATTTCATTATACAGGCATATTAAAGGGATAGTTCTGTCTCATGCAAAAAGGCATAGAGGTTTGGAAAGACATGAGGGTGAGTAAATGATGGCAGAATTTTCATTTTTGGGTGAACCATCCCTTTAAACATTGCTTTATGTGTTCACAAGGGTTAAATGTATTTCCTACCAAGTAAAGTGATGATGCAGGCCAGGATGGCGACGAGAGCTCCAGTGCTGAGTCCAGCTGACAGCGTGAAGGCCTCTGTGCCACATGACTGGGGCGTCCCATCAGGGTCACAGTCACACACTCTAACAGACAGCGTGTTAGTGCTGCTGAGAGCAGGGGTCCCGCTGTCCATTATCAACACCGGCAGTCGATACATAGACTGTTCCCTCCTCTGAAAACCACCCCTCTTAGTTAGAATAGAAGCGGTATTGTCTGCAGAGAGAAAGAGAAAGATATCATGTGAAAAGTGAAAAAATGACTCATACGAATATATAAAATGAAGTCTTTTTAGTCTTATTAGGAATAAAAACTGAGTTTCAAGGATTCGCTTTAAACTTAGTCTTAATGAAATCACGTACCTTTATTGTCTCGGAGGGTGAAGTTCATGTTCCCAGCTGTCTCTGCAGTGAGGGAGAAGACGAAGCGATGCCCGCTGGGTGGTTCATCTTTATCCACTGCACTTATGGTTTCAATGACCTAAGACAGTGTCGAAGAGGGAGTAAAGAACATGAAGATGAATACTGCTGTTATTGCCTCGCTCCAGACAAAATAATCCAAAATTCTCGCGCTCAAAACACTGCAGTGTTGCCATAATAATGAATGTTTGAGATTATAGGTAAACCTCAGTATTTCATGACTGGAATCAATTACTTGATATGTTTATTAATTAGTAAAATAATAATTGAAATTAATAGCATATATCAATATTTGCTCAGAAAATCCCCAAATGTAAGATTATTTAAGACATTATAGGTTGAAACACTGAATAAGCCCATTAATTATGATTATTGAATGAAGTCAATTTTCAAATGAAGAATATTTTATTTCCATATAATTGAACATACACTGTACAAAGATATTCACAGCTTCTTCAAGTAGCTATATCTACCTGACCTGACCATTACTGCTTTTGTTCATGTAACCTAATGCAATCAAACTGAATCAGTCAAACAAACTAATATTTTTTACTTGCTTTAATTATTTAGATGCTACTGAATAGTTCTAGGTTATTTTTTACCATCCACGACAACCCGTTTTGCAATTTTTTGTTTATTGGTTTATGTACACATACATCAGACAAACATCTTTGGCAGTTGTGTTGTGTCTAGCTGGCTTTTTAGCATCTTCCGACATGAGAGCCACATTTAAAGACTGTGAGACAATTAAAAAACTATCTTTTAAAATTTTACCTCAAGACCCTAGCAATTTCAATATAATAATTAACTAATTTAACATATTGTATTGATGCCCACATTTTATGTTTTAACACAGAAAAAAAAATCAACCATCAGCCAAATTCAATGTGGTGAACTTAGAGGAAAAAAATACACAATTCACAAGTTTAAATCATGTTGAAAACAACATTAGGAGGATTGACCAAGCCAGGAAGCTATCAGTGTGAGACGATGCTCGTACGGTATCCAGGGATTTAGCAAAGTAGAGGGCCATCCCGGTCTAAATCTGGACCGAAACCCCCAAAGCTGGGCAAAGTGCTGCGCTTTAGAGATGAATATCAGGGTGACCCATCAGGTGGTACACTAAGAAGATTCTCCTGACACACTGTTGTGGCCTAATCTGTGGGCTTTGGCTGGGTTAAATACTGTGTGCACAGCTCTTCCCTTGCAGTCAGCACAAACTCAATCTGCTTGAAAAATCTCCTAAAACCTTACGCACAGGATAAATGCAGCGGAGCGGTGGCTAACGGACACTCCTGTATCATTTCCTCATTCGTCCGAGGAATATGACCTTGTACTCACCAAAAGCTTTTCAGCGCTTTAATTCTCCACTCAGTTATTTTTAACACCACCCTCCATTTACGCTAAGTGAGTATTTGGCAATGGAAACTCTGACGGATTTATCTGTAAATATTTTTGAAATCGTAAAACGTTGCGCTATTAAAAACCTGCATAAATGACACAAGCAGAGCAGGATGTTCCCTCAGCACCGAGCGCTGATTACAGTAAACTGTGACAAAATTAATTACAGATAGTCCATTAAGGCGAATGCAAAGTGTATTGATAAAATCATTGAGGCAATAGGTTCATTTAAAATGAATAAGAACATATTGCCAAGGCAAAGCGTCTTAAACCAAACCTGATTCCGCATTTACCAACCTGGGAGATGTTGAAAAGTAAATCGTTTTTAGAATAATAGTGTAAAAACACAAAATGGCTCTTGTGCAGCCAAGAAGCACATTTTATGGAAAAATATGGGTGATTTAAGCCTTTTTGCAGTACATGTAAAAATGGCTGGAGGGCAAGGAATGTCTCCTGTGCCACCTGATTTTACAGAGGGCAAAATCTTCACCGTAGTGAGACCGCCCGTGGAGAGTTAGCAGTCACGAGCGCTTTAAAACACCAGTCTCTCAGCCTGCCACAGCTGACCATGTCTCTGAGGCATAAGGAAACAAGACAGAATATAGACGACCTTAAAGAGATAAAAACCCCTGGGAAAACACTCACTCCTCATAATCTAATCTGCTAAATCACCTGCAACAAATCACCTGGCTCATTTAGAGACCGCAGCTTCAATTCATATTAAGGTTCTATTAAATTCAAAAAGTCATATTAGGAACAAAAGAGAAACCAAGGGCACAGAGAAAAGAGCTTTATGCTGGGAAACGAAGGTGAAGATATACGTTTAGTGCCTGTGACCCCATAACAGGCACTTGTTGGATGGGGATCTGGGGACCTTTTTCAACAAGCCATCTGTTTTAGACTCGGATGCAATGATGGGGAATATTCCCTCTCGTATCGTGTACACTGGGGATGGGTGATTATGATCGCCTAGTCATCCAACAACTGACTTCATCTAGATATTTTTTGAGTTTTCAGAATTTTAGAGGCCATTCTTTAAAAGTTACGGAATCATCGACAATAGTGAAGACAAAAATGCACTAATTAAACAATACTGCTAATGAAAATAAGATATTAACAATACTCTAATAGTGTTTTCAAATAAAAATAATTTGATTACTATGATTTAAATAATCTAGTCATAATTAATAAAATCAAACTTACCATTTTAAAAATGCTAAAGGTAAAGCTATTTCTTCTTCTTATTTATTTTTTTTTTGTGTTTTGCATTTTTATGACATTGTAACAAGTGAAAATTAGACCAATTATTATTATTGCATATTGAGACCCCTGTGTTCTGGTTCGTTACATTGCACTAATTGCTTTTTAATGCAAGATCACATGTCTGATTGGGATCAAGTGAACACAAAACTATTTGATCGATTTGTCGACTAGTTATTGATGCAACCCCTACTTTGAAATGATGTAGTTTTTGCTCTCTCTGTGTAGGAAAGAAGTGAAAAAATTTTAATTTGCACTCAAAACCTGGTTTCATTTGCTCTCAAATCCTGGCAACAGGTTTTCCCGCAACTATATGCAACGATTCATTCTTTCTCCAGGCAATTCTGAGGAGTTCATTCAAATTCAAGAGCTCCATACAGTCTCTTTCAGAGCGTCTGGCTTCTTGATGGAGCAGGTGTGAAGCTCTAAATATACAAATGTGCAGATGAGGCGTATGAAAACAACGACGTGAAGACACTCGTAGATAACAGTGTAACAACAGGCACGAAGGCTGGCTGAAAAAGAGCCTATTTCGCCTCAGACGCAAATAAGCAAACAGCATTTGCGACTATTTTGCAAGGCACTGAAGTGACAAAGAACGTAAAAGTGCCATCACTGTTTGTTGATGATATTGTGCCTCACGGCAAACATTCTGTCTGATCAAAATTATTTGTCTAACAGCTCCAGAACGCCTCACTCAAAGGCTTTGACTTTCAGATTCGGTCTCCAAAAGCACTCCAGGATGTCTGAGAGCCTCTGTTTTGCAGGTACAACGGTTTAAGGGCTGTTATAAGGACAGACTCATCGTGCTAAGAATCACAAGAGAAATCCGCGCTATCGAGACAGCATTTGACTATCACTGCAGCATCGCTCAAGTGCTCCCATGGCTGAAGATATGTAAGTGAACATGAATCACAGGGGAAACTATATCATTATGAAAACATACAGGCACTTTCATCTCTATTCAGAGAAAGAGAGACCGTTCTACTGTTCCTCGGAGAGGCGGGAAAGTAATTTAGCCTCTAATATGAGAGAGAGCTCTGAAAGTTAGAAGTGATGGAAGTCTGGGGTGTCCAAAACACATAAAGAGTGTTCTTGAGGGACTATGGTAATGTGTTTCAAGGCTGAGATAGCATTTGTGAAAAGAGCCCACCAGCACCTTTTCACTTAGGCAAAATAAACACGGTTCCCTGTGACTCTGGGACACAGGCAGGCCAGGACTAATTGTTATGGCCCAGACAATCATGCCACTACAGGGGATTGTATCTCATGCTCAGTAAACCCTGTTGCCTTGTTCTGTTCTCTCTTTGTTTTGAGGGCTCTTGTGGGAGGGATTATTTTTCTTAAGAAAATGAAAAACATCCTTCAGTATTCTTTCACTGCTCCCAAAAGAAATTATCAGATCAAGTCAATTTCTGATACACTAATAAAAACAACACTGTAATTGAGTAGGAATTTCAAACACCTCTACAAATGTTTGACTATTAACTCTCCTCTAAACAAACACCGTCTGTCAAAGATCTAATGAAACAATTACAATTACTAAGTAGGGTTTCTATGGAAGCTTGTTTCTTACTCTGTTTCTGATTATACAGTTTAAAAGAAACTCACATTGTGAAATATAGTCACAAATACAAGAAATAATCACAATTACATACTGTAAACCTGCAGTCTTTAGACAGTCACATTTACAAAAAAAGCCATAACAGATTACAGATACAGATGTACAGATAACAATAAGTTACAGATTACAAAAAATAAATTTGTAGTTGCAAGATATTAAGTCGGTATTACAAGAAAGGGTCACAGTTGTGAGATAGGAAGTTGTAACTGAGATAAAATCAGACTTATGAGAAATAGTCACAACTGTGAGATATTAAGTCGCAATTGTGAGAAAGTTGGAATTGTGAGAAATATTCACAACTGTGAGATATGAAGTCGCAATTGTGAGAAAAAGTCAGAATTATGAGAAATTGTCACAACTGAGATATTAAGTCGCAACTGTGAGATAAAGTCTGAATTACTGTGTAAGAAATAGCCACAACTGTGAGATAAAGTCAGAATTATGAAAAATAGTCACACTTGTGAGATATTTAGATATTTATAGAGATATTTGTGAGAAAGTTGGAATTATGAGAAATATTCACAACTATGATGAGATATGAAGTTGCAATTGTGAGATAAAGTCAGAATTATGAGAAATAGTCACAACTATGAGATATTAAGTCGCAACTTTGAGATAAAGTTGGAATTACTGTATGAGAAATAGTCACAACTGTCAGATATGAAGTGGCAATTGTGAGAAAAAGTCATAATTATGAGAAATAATTATTTCTCATAATTATGAGAAATAATTTAGCAACATCTGAAATATGCTAAATACTGGGAGATGTGAAGTTGCAAATTAAGAGAAACAAATGTGCAGTTATGAGAAATGAAGTCAGATTTAAGATATGTGTGAGATATAAATTGCAATTACAAGACAATAAAATCAGAATTAAAAAATAAATTAGAGTATTAGAACATAAAAATCAACTTCTTTCCATGTAGCTTTTATAGAATAACAGCGGTAATGCAGCAGATGCTCTCAAAAGGAAAGGCACCTCTAGTTGAGTAGAATCCGTCATGTTTTCACCACTGGTGTTGGTCCTCTGACATTGATCTTTCAAGATCAATGGTGCATCACGTCACAGAATTTGTCAGTGGCTTTTATCATTCCCATTAGGACTGAAGAAAGGTCCAGAATGTTTCCTCCACGCACTCATAGCAAGTGTTTAGTATGTGGCATTCGTAATGCCCTTTATACCACATTCATCTTAGTAATGACGTTCTGACAAACATTGGAATATGAATGCGACAGAGAATGTGTTTGAATCAGGGCATGTTGCTGACTCGAAAATGAGGAACCCATTGGTTTGCTTGTGTGTGTGTTCTGCAATTGCCTGCTGGAGGACTTCACATTTGGCTACTTGACACAATGCCACGCTCCCCAACAAACCAATTTCATGCCACAGTCACCTCTGTCTCATTTGCATCGGTGTAAAGCTTTTTCTGCATGAGCGCACAATGTTTTGATCCCCTGATTAGAATGATCTGCAGCAGAAAGCCACCAGAATCCTGTTGTTATCATTTTGTCCATCTGTGGCTCTCGCTGCTCTTTACTGACTATGGATCCGGGTCCAGAATCTTTCTAGTTGAGCTTCCGATGAAGGACAGCAAAAAATATACGTATAAACTAATGAAAAACTTCTAACTAAAATAAAAGACGCAGTATTATAACCTTGGTTCAAATCAACAAGCTGCACACTGCAGTACATAATCTGAAAATGAGATCTATTCTCATTTATTAGGTGCTTCCAACAGTAATACTGCACAATTAATTTCATCCAGTATCAGAAATGTTGTGACAAGAATAATTATTTCTGTTTATTGGACTATACAGATTTGAAATCACATTTGATATGAAAGCCTTTCTGATGAAGAATCAAGAGCCACAATACCTGTCCTGGTCCAATGCTTTCACACAGGAAGGTCTCATACTCTATGGCAAAGACTGGCGCATTGTCATTAATGTCCATCACTGTGATCAGAGCTACTCCTTTCCCAACCTGTGACGGATCCACTGAAATCACAGAGAAAAAAATATGCATGCATGAACAGGCTGATAGATGAAAAAACATGAGGGCACCAACACATTTATTTCAATATGTTTTATTTATTTAAATGTGTTACATTATTTAATAGGTTGCATTTATTTAAATATGTGCCTTGCCATTGTTCCGACCACTTTTAGTTTGCTCACGGGGGGCATTATATCATCATTTTCTGTAATTCTGAATTTAAATTATTTGTATTATGAAAATATTTTACTTCACAAATCAAAACAAAACAAAAAAAAAGTTGATCAGAATCAGTTAAAAATATTAAAATAATAAAATAAAAATAAAGTATAACTAAGTATAAAATAATGAAAAAAATAACATAAGCATTACAATGACGTACATTCA